TGCTTCATTCATTAAGCTGTCATTCACTACAGAATTAGAGTTGGTGGAATTTGTGTTTTCAGTGCCTTATAGGTAATAGTGCTGGTGGAGTGGTTAAGGAGGAAACATTCCTGACTCCACTTCAGCAGCGTAGTGGGTGAGGACGAAAATTATATTCCCTGGAAGCTCAAGCCTAGCTTGAGAACTATTTTTCTAATTAAAAGACTGAGCATAGATTATGGATCCTTCAGAAAAAAATTAGAGCTGAAAAGGGAACCGTGAAATCATCTAATCTAACTTCTTCATTTTATAGAGGAAACTGAGGCTCAGCAAGGTAAGTGAGAGTTGGTGGTGGAGCCTAAATACTCTTGTTGGTCATAAAGGTTAGGTTTAACAGTATCTATCATCAGTTAGTACATCTGTATACATTACGAATTGACTGGGCATCTGTGGTCTGGCCTGGGGACTGAAACACCAATCACGAGTTTTTTCTATGGAAAAATGTACTTTGAATTTGAAATAAGCAAAATACATACAAACCTCTGGAACACAGCTTCTTCCTAAGTTGGGACCTGCCTAGAACTAAAGTTTTTCATAAATATGAGTTGATAAGCTGTTACCAACATAAGATCAATAGTTAGATGGGCTTAAATTAAAATTACTTCCTACATATATGCCTTAAAAGTACCTATTAGACTTAAAAATAGTTACTTCCCCAACTGGAGCAGTTCTGAATTGCTACAAAATGGAAACATGCTAGACCTAAATAAAACCTTTGAAACTGAGGAGATGTGCCCCTGTGAAAAATATCACCTTACTACACAGAGCACAAAAATAAAAGATTAGTTGCGTCTATCTGAAGAAAAGGGACACTAGAAAATAAAACCTCAACTACAATGAATGGCAAATCTCTTTTCAGAACAGAAGAGAAAGCAGTTATCTGAAGGGGCAGGAAGCTCAAATGGTGACAAAAAACACCAGTGGCACTCACAGTACCTGTGTTGCAAGTGTCCTTCATCAGTCGGCACCGATCTTTGACAGAAGAGGCACTCCTTCCTAGCGCCGCCCCTATTGTTGCCCAGTCATTGCCATGCTTTATCCGGAGCCTAAAACAAGAGTCTGCCAATCAGCATTTGGTTCAACTGTTTTCTCCCTTTTAATTTCATCATTTATTCTTCATTCTTCTTCTTCCCATTTGACTGGTTTGGAAGTTGTGGGCAGCAATACTTTGAGAGCCAAAGTTTGAAAGTGTGGCCTTTTTTTGGGGTCCACAGTTGTCTGTGGGTGAAAAAAAAACAGGCAGCAATTGCCTTTTTCCTGGGTCAGAGAAGAAATAAGTAACTTGGATATGTGTTCAAAAAAGACCAAATTTCCCCTCAGGTTATTGACACAATTTCCCAGGCAATCCCCAGATTTTTCCCTTTTGAGCACTGCCTAACAAGCTCTTCTCAGACACCTGAAACAGTTTCACAAGTCCTTATCACAAACAGGATCAGCCTTCGGGTTTTTTTTTCCATGATCCATACAATCCATTAACCCATACTTTATGGTCCCAAAATTATGTTTCCTGCAAAATAAGACTGTATAAGGTAGAGTCAGCCCAGACAGTCAGTGAAACATTTGCCAACTCGCCATTCTAAAGTAAGCCATTAGCACAACCCTGGTTTTGATCCTGGTGTGTAAGTTCCCCGGACTTACTCTTCAGGTCACCAAGAATGGCGATCTAATCTCTTTTGTAACCCCTATTAGCGGTCTAAGGACGCATTACACTTAGTTACTAACAACAAGAGAAGACAACTCATGGACATGGCTACTCTGTGCAGATATAGATTTGATAAGTTCTTTACATGGTCAACTATGCTTAACAGCAGGATTAAATTATACCAGTCTACCAAAAATCTCTTGACATTTTCAAAGTAAAACTTTAGAAAACACAAAATATTAAAAAAAATTAAAACACAACTATCAGAATTAATGAAAAAAAGAAAGTTAAACTTACTCCTTGAGTTTTTCAATTTCTTCAGGTGTGTATCTAGAAATTTAAAGAAAATTTTAAAAGATCAATTAAACAAAGAATGCTAAAAAACAATAAAAATCAGAATTTCACTTAGGGAGCCAAATGTTAAGTCACTTAGCATATTGATAACATTTTTAAAGTAATCAATTTCAAAGTAGATGAATAAAAATCAAAATTAATGCCTCTATTAAAAAAAACCCCAACAAATACTTTAAGCTATAATAAAAGTGAGCACTGTAACAATTTTCTCTAGGAAAATTCAACATTTAAAACATATTTTCTCCTATGCTGCCTAACTCTTGCGTTATTTCAAGTTAGGTTCAGGTACTCTAATATCATAGCTATTCTGAAAGACTTATGGATGACATGGTAAACTGGAGCTAAAAAGAAAATCTATGGTCAATTCTCACAAGTCACTGAAGAATTTTAAGTTCTCTTTATTTTCTCTACCCATGCACGGACAACTGACATATTCTTGCTCCATGTAAAGGCTTTCTTTTTAGTGGGTAAGTACTCAATATAGCCAATGCAATGTTCTTTTTAAAAGCAGTATCTAGAAAGCCACACTACTACCACCTAAAACTCCCAGAGAGAAATTTAAAATATGTCAACAACACCATATTATCATTTCATTGAAGATATGATGGCTTCCCATAGATATTACCGATATATAATATTGGTAATTATATCCAGAAATTTATATATCCAGAAATTTATTATATCCAGAAATTTATTTTCTACTCTGGTTTTATTAAAAAAAAACCCAAAAGAAGTCACTGACCTAGGAAATGTTATGCTACAGAAATGAATAGGAAAAATGTTACCAATGAATTTAGAGTTCTTTTTACACTTCCTAATCTTTAACCACTACTATACTTTTTATAATGTTACTTTACTGCAAAGCAGACTTTGATGTATTAAGTCAGCTAAGTCTTAAATCTATATAAAGTAATTTCGATTCTAATTTCTAAAAGAGGCCTTATTGTAATGAGGTTTCGCTGTATTTACAAAATGGACCTAGAGAATAAAAATACTAACATCACTCAACAGTAATTCATAACTATCTCCAATTAAGGCTTTGATCATAATTTTATTAAAAAAAAAGTTCCTTAAATATTTCCCCTAAATTACATGAAAACATGCAGCATTACAAGTTTTCATACTTTCCCACATGGTTTCTGTCATCATACATGCGAAGCACTCTTCTATAAACTGCAAACAAAGGCCGGTTCAGACCCCATGCTATAGTCCTGTAGAAATCTTTTCTTTCGTCTTTTGACATCTCAAAGATGATTTCTGTAGCATCTTTTATTCCGCGTGCCTAAATGGGTTACATTTCTTTTATTTAGGGATTTCTGATAAAATGCATATGGATATACTATGCTTTTTAAAAGTTTTTTTAATGTTAAAATCATCAATGGCATTTAGAAAAATAACATATTGATAATTCATTAATAAGTCAAATATAAAGTTTAAAATGCTGCAAGAGATAATACAATGATACTTAAATATTTCAAAAATAAGTTGTATATAATTCAATAAAGTCCTGCCAACCCCTTTTAAAATTACAAAAAATTAAATCTAAATAAAGTAGAAAAGGAAGAAATCATAAGAACAAAATTAATATAATCAAATCAAGAGTAGAAAGTATGAGCAATGCTAAAAACTGGTTCTTTGAAAAGATCCATGAGACTAAATAAGAACAAAAAGATAAACTTATGGCAAAACTTAAAAAAAAAAAAAAGGACAAAACAATACTAGAGATGAAAAATGGCGCCTAAGGAGAGATGCTACAGCGATTAGATAGTTGAACATTATGAAAACTTTATGACAATAAATTTGAAAACTTATATAAATGTATGATTTCCTAGAAAAAGTCAACTTACCAAATGACTCAGGAAGAGAAAGAAAATCTAATAAATACAGACCATGAAGAAAATTTAATCAGTTATTAATAATTTTCCCACAATGAAAACACCAGGCCAAGATGATTTTACAGGTAAATCCTACCAAACAATTAAGAGAAACATAATTCTGATTTCAAACTATCCTAAAGATAAAAAGGGGGTGGGACTTCCCTGGTGGCACAGTGGTTGGGAGTCCACCTGCCAAAGCAAGGACATGGGTTCGAGCCCTGGTCTGGGAAGATCCCCACATGCTGCAGAGCAACTAAGCCCGTGTGCCACAACTACTGAGCCTGCGTTCTAGAGCCCATGAGCCACAACTACTGAGCCCGCGTGCCACAACTACTGAAGCCTGCACACCTAGAGCCCGTGCTCCGCAACAAGAGAAGCCACCGCAATGAGAAGCCTGAGCACTGCAACGAAGAGGAGCCCCCACTTGCCGCAACTAGATAAAGCCCACGCACAGTAACAAAGACCTAACGCAGCCAAAAATAAAAATAGATAAATTTATTAAAAAAAAAAAGATAAAAATCGGGGACAATTCCCCACTCATTTGATTAGGCTAGCATAATCTCAATAGCAAAACCAGACAAGGGGAGTTTCAGAAAAGATCTTCTGGGCCAAGCTCATTCATTAAAATAGATCCCCCAAATCCTCAAAATATTTTAGCACACTGAACTCAGTAATGTATAAAAAGGTTAATAATCAATGCAAAAAGTAAGCTTACTCCAGGAATATGAGTTTGTATTAATTTCAGAAAAATTAGCAATAAATCACATAAGATTTATGGGAAAAAAGTAAAATCTCAATAGGTATGGAAAGAGCAATCATAAAATCCAACATTCAAAAAGCATAAAGATTGTAATAATTATAAACAGAGTATAACCTTTAAATATTGTAAATCACTATGTATACCTGAAACTTACATAATATTGTACATCAACTATACCCCAATTTTAAAAAAGCATAAAGATTAGAAAAGAATCATTTACAGATGTTATATATGTAGAAACCCAAACATCTATAATCAAAAATTATTTAAGAGTACTTAGCAAGAATGCTGGTTACAAAATCAATGAAGTCACTTGTATTTCTAGACAAAGCGCATAAAAAATCTTTTAAAATTCCCACTAATAATAGCATCAAAATTAAAAAAGCATTAAGACTAAATCTTAGGCAAGTTATGCAATTCCTTTATGGAGCAAACATAAAACTATCAACTGACATTAAAGAGGAACTAATTAAAATGGAGAGCTATAAAATGTTCTTCAAGAGGAAGTCAGAATATTACAAAGATGTTAATGGTTAATTCCCTTCAAATTGATTCAGATTCAATGTAGTTCCAATAAAAATTCCAACAGTTTTTCATTCTTTGCAGGTTGATTCTAAATTTATAATGGAAGAGCAAAGGGCCAAGAACAGCCAAGACACTCATGAAGAGACCTGCCCCATCAGATATTGGGACTTCTGAAGACAGAGCTGTACTGGTGCAGGTATGAAACTGAACCTAAGAACAAATTAGAAAACCTAGAAACATATCTGTGGAAGTCTGAGTAGGACAGAATGGATATTGTAGACTGGGAAAAGACTGACATTCTCTAATGATGCTGGGACAATTATCATCCATATAAAACAAAACAAAACAAAAACAACCACAACCTAATAACACTGAAACCCTAACTCATACCCACAGGAAAAAAAATCAGTGTGAAAGGCAAAACTATATATGTGAGAGTATCTTTATGCCCTTGAGGCAGGGGAAGATTTCTTAAACAAGCATGGAAAAACACATAAGTAAAAAGATGATAATTTTGAAATTGGAATTAAGAATCTTCTTTCATCAAATCATACCTAGAGAGAAGGAAAAGACAGGCCACTAAATTGGGACAAGATATCTGTAACACAACCAAAACACCATTAGTATCCAGCATACATTAAGAACGTCACAAAAATTAAAAAGATAAACCACCCCACAGAAAAAACTGATAAAAGACACAAACAGGAATTTCAAAGAGGAAACACAAATGGCCAACAAGCATATAAAAATATGTAATCAGAGAAATAAAAATTAAATCCATAATAAAATACTATTTACACCCAAAAGATCTGCACAAATTAATAGCAAAAAACTAAAAAGAACCCAAATGACCATTAACTGTGGAACGTGTAACTTATGGTATATATATATTTGCATGATGAAAGCTAAAAAAAAAAATCAACAGGGGATGGGTCTCAAAATCACAATATTGAACAAAAGAAGCCAGTTACAGAATACCCAGAGAATGAATCAACTTATGTAAATTTCTAACAGGTAAAATTACACTGATATGCATTTTAAACACTCTTCTGAATGTATTAAACTTCACAGTAGAAACTTTAAAATTTCAGAATCTTTTCTAAAATTGTTTTACGCAGTTTCAATTCTGCAAACAATTAAACCTAAATATTTACAAGTACCTACAGGCAAGGCACTGTGTTGTGGGATGATATTATAGTGAGATGAAAAGATCTTTCTGCCCTTTTTTTTGTTGTTGCTTGTGACAATACCTTATCCTTTTACCCAAAATATGAAATATATGACACCTAATTAATTGGTTTAAAAATAGCTCCACAATGTTCCTGTAAGAGCACCACATAATGAAAATCACAATCAAAAATCAAAATCAAACAAATTAGCTTTTCCCAAGATCAGTACATCTTTTTGGACATTTCCTATTTCTGACAATTCTATCATCACTCTCCCAAACATCCTCAATTTTTAAAAAAACGTTTAATTATTCCCACTCCTCATTTTCCTTCTTCACCAATATTCAGTCACTAGGCTTCCTTAGAGACTATTTGCTTATCTGCCTTTCCCTGCCAATTCTATTTCAACTACCGTAAAGTCCTTACTACTCTCTCCTGGTCACCTGAAATGGGTATCTAAAAGTCTTAATCATAAAGCTGAAAGAGTCCTTGGAAATCATCTACTCCAATCTCTTACACAAGAAACCAGCTTCTTAATTCCCCAAATTCAGTTTGTTTACCAATTCGTTGCTGCCTTATCTAAACCTGTAGCATTTTTCCAATTTTAACTTAAGTGTCTGTGATCAGTGGACAACTTTTAATACACTTCTAGATACATTTCAATGGTCACTATATTTCTGTTTCTCTTAAAACAATTAGCTTGGTGGGAAGGATCTTTCTTTACTTATAAAGAATTAAAAGTTTTTTACTCTTTATAATTTATAAAGTGCAGTTTGGGAGGAGTGCAGCTTAAAATTAAGCTTAAGAACATGGACATTCTAGGCAGCAGTGTATTTAAAATAGTAAAAAATTGTACATAAACTAAGTATCAAACAATAGGAGAATAGTTAAATAAACTCTGTACACTTCCCATTCCCAAACAATTGGTAATGGCCTCCATTTCAAACATGCACTATTTGAACATAACTCCATTACTGGGATGGTCAGCAAGTCTCTGGAAAGATTTCCTTGAGAAGGACACAGATCTACCCGACCAAACTCTCCCTAAACTGAGTTACCAGCTCTTCTCATTTCTTATAGGATAGAATTCTAATTCTTTGGTCTGGACTTCAAAGCCCAAGTTCTAGAAGCTAATTATCTTGGTTCGGGTTAAAGGGGTTAATTTAACATACTCTGTGTTTGAACTCTGAATCCTCGACGCTCATCATTTACTTATGCTGTTCCCTCCAGCCCTACTCTACCCCTAACTCCCACCCCTTTCTTTAAAACTCAGCTCAAATCCTGCTCTTCCAAATATTTTCCATAACTGTCCTAACCCTGAGAATAAACTCTTCCTTCTTTGTTCTCATGCAGAATCAACAGCATGTTATCACTTGCAGGGTACAGAGCCTTATATCATTCTTCACCTGTTTTCAGAATTTCCACATGGACTGTTGGCAGGCATTTGAAAGCCAACACTATTTGTTAAAGCAATTCACATTTCTAGTGCTTCAAAAATTCTGTTTTCATCAGACATTTAATGAAGAGGATGACTAAGGTAACAGGATATAAGCCTGAATATGAAAATGAACTAAAATTTTTTTTTAAAGGGGAAAGACTAGTGTGATGTCATAAACTCATTCAAAGAAGATGCATATCTTAGACTTTACACAACATAAATTTAAACCTTAATTTATAGGCTGCTTGAAAAGATGGGGCTTTAAGATTCTAAGAGGCTATTAAAATTCTGCCTAAACTTCAGGGTATTAACTAAAGCAATAAAGCTATTTTAAACTGAGAATTCAAAATGTGCTTAAAAATATAATCATACAACTGAGAATTATTAATCTACAACATATTGGCCAGTCATCCATTACATAATTACTGAAAAGCTCCTAAGTAGTATATACAAAATGCTGCTTTGATATTTTTTGCAATTGGCGATGAAAAAATTAGTGAAACAAAAAAATATGCCATAAGATACCTTCAAATAGCGTTCAATATTGTTCATCAAAATATCAATTTCTTCCTTGGACCACATCCCCTGCTTCCATTTATGTCCTTTAAAAGAAAACAAGTAATGCTATAGAAAATATTATTCCTTGAGAGGAATAAAATGTAGCTAATTTAATGTCTCACTCATCTGAAATCTGAAAAATCCCCAGGTGAAGTTGCTTTTGTGACCTCTGGTTTTTAAGAAAGAATACATTTGACCCTACTAAATAGAGATAATGATAAGTAAAAGATTCATAAAAAATATTACTTCCTCTTAGTTACATCTCTTATCCTTTCAGCAGTATAGGATTTATAAGTACAAAAGCCAAATCACCCTCAAAACTTTCTGAAAAATTTCTCGTCAAAAATAAATTTTATGGGCAAAAAAAACATGTATGAAAGATTCTAGGACAAGGTAAACAAATTGGATACCAAGTGAATAATTTATTCTTAATGAGTACTTACTGTACAGTGGTTGAAAACAATCAATTTACTTACTTTTTGTTTCCTTTCCTTACTTCAGAGTGGCATATACACAACCTCCACTTTGTTGTAGTAACTTCCTAGCAATCCTTATGAGCTCAGCAGCACTATAAACACTGTTACTTTAAACCTCTAAGCCACTTATCAGACCAAAGTTAGTAGCAGAACTTTGAAAAAAGGCTTGACTTCCTACTCCCATAAGCAATAACTGAATTGTCTTTTAAATGACACCACTGTGCATCTGTTTATAACCTACTTCATATCACAGAACTAATGATCAATGATTGAAAAATGAATATTGGTTTCATGGTCCCATTCAGAGCCAAATTTAATTCAATTAGAAAGGCTCAATTACTGTAACTACTCAACCATAATTATGAAGGCCCAACTCAGAATCCTTATGACTACAAGCTCTTCTTTATGTCCATTTTTTCTACTGGACACTAAAATTCACAGTATCTCTTACCTTTGTTAGTTAGAGAATCCTTATCTTCTTTAGTTGTAAACCATGCTTGGCTAACTGCTGAAACCTCCTCATTACCCAAGGGAGATATGTCATCTAGTTGCTCATTCTGTAGAATCTTGAAAAGGTAAAAGAGAAAAAAAAAGTAGCAGCCTGATTTAATACCCAACCCGATTCATCTTTGTTTGTAATGCTAAGTACTATAAAACTCTAATAATGTGAAATCCATTTGTTTTAGATATAATAAAATTATATTGAATTTATAAAAATATTTTCTTGTTCTTTTAATAAGACATTATGAAAACAAAACTATTTGCATTAACAAAATATGACCTTCATTTAAGCAAGTAAGTCAGTACTAGCAGCTTGAATTTTAGAGAATATTGGCTACGATTCCATTAAGCATTTAAATTAATACAGGATACTCAAAGCCATTTGTATATTTATATATGTAAAACAAACTCATATATAAAATAAAATGGAAATGCTGGGGTTGATGTCATGATTATTCATGTCCTCACAGGTAGTTTGCTACCTAAATATATAGTCCTCTGTAATGTAATCTGTTGCTAAATCTAAAGGATTAACAGGCTAACTCAAAAGATGTTCCTGCAAAATCATGATCTGCTTATTGTTTACTGACAACTTTGTTTTAGCCAACCTCTAGAGCTGATTCCTACCCTCCTTAATGTACCTTCTTTCAAAGAACTATATGGTACTACTTTCTATTATTATTGCAGTAAAACAGTCTGTATGAGAAATGTGTAGTTAAAAAATAAGCTTTATTGAGATACAATTCACACATCATAAAATTCACCCTTTAAAGTATACAATTCAGTGGCTTTCAGTATATTTATGAAGCTATCACCAGGTACATTTTCTTTTGTTGTTTTTTTTAAATTTATGTATTTTATTTATTTATTTTTTGCTGCGCTGGGTCTTTGTTGCTGTGCACGGGCTTTTTCTAGTTGTGGCAAGCCGGGGCTACTCTTCGTTGTGGTGCGTGGACTTCTCATTGCGGTGGCTTCTCTTGTTGCAAAGCATGGGCTCTAGGCACACAGGCTTCAGTAGTTGTGGCAGGCAGGCTCAGTAGTTGTGGCTTGTGGGCTCTAGAACCCAGGCTCAGTAGTTGTGGCGCACGGGCTTAGTTGCTCCGCGGCATGGGGGATCTTCCCGGACCAGGGCTCGAACCCCTGCCCCCTGCATTGGCAGGTGGATTCTCAACCACTGCGCCACCAGGGAAGCTCACCAGGTACATTTTCAATTAAGGACATACCTAATCCAGCAAATTCTGCAGGAACAAAGCTGTTTTTAAGAGACTTGGCCTTGAGCTAAAGAGAGCTATAGGGTAAGTGAAGAGGATTTAGCAAAAGTGCTACCATATCAGGTATGAACCTATTATAGGCAGACCAGGATAAGGGGGAGAGTCACATGCCCAGTGACCACTCAACCCAGTTTTGTCTCTGGATTGGATCAACTACTAACCTATGTCACTTTCCGGAGGTAAGTCCTAACAAAGTTTGAACTGTGTTTTGAGTAGGCAGAAACTGGATCTCTACTTTCAAGAAGATATGAAACCCATCTCACTTCGAAAACAGAGAAACTGTCCATGAACAATCAAAGCACAGTGAGGAGAAGAGCCATGCCTCTACTGTCACCTACTTTATTTTTATATTTGGTGGTAATGAATATTTTGTATTTATAAAAATGTTGTTTTTTTAAAACCATAGGCGAAAGCTAGAAATCACTGGAACAGACATGAAAAGTTTTATAACCCTGTATTTATGCATCATACATTTTAGATCTTTTTCTTTTAAAGATTAAGAGGACTTTATAAAGCTGAGAATTGAGACAGACTAGACAGATGATATCCAAGGCCTCTTATATTATGAAGATAACAATTCTGTAAGATTTGACACAGGAGTTATTCATCAAGGGCAATACACAGACCTATCAAAAGACCTTGATACATATAATACCTACTTTTAAGAAATGTAATGTAGAAAATATCCTGAGATGATCTCTTATATTAATTAGTTCATTAAAAGAATAAAATCACCACTTTCCAAAGTGAGTCTAAATATACAGCAAAGCCCACTCTATGAATCTCACAAATAAACCTGTCATGCCAATTAATCGCTGTCTTTGGGCAAACACTTAATGCCTTATGGCTCAAATTTTTCTGAAGAAGACTTACAATTATTACTTAAACCATATAATGTTAAACAGGAAAAGCCGTGAAATGAAGTAAATAATTATTAAATTTTAGTAGCAATATTCAGCACTGTCAATAAAAGTGAGTATAGAAGGAGACTTAGGTACCTGAAAGGCTATCTATCTATACTTAGTAGTAAGTTTAGTAATAAGTATTTTAGTATAGTAAATAGTAATAAGTTTTATAGTATTTTACCCCCATTTTTCACTATTTTATACATAAATCTTTTAAAGTTACTCAGGCTTTATTAGAATGCTGTTGCTTTCTAAATGAAGCCTTTTTGAGTTGGTTGTAGGGTTTCCTATCTGTAACATATACAGGCTTAGAAATCTAAAAATAAGTATTTCATTCACTAAACACTTCTTGCAACCACAAAGTACTACATACATTGGGAAGTTTTTAATTTCTAATTGTTTTTCAAGCTTGTCCCACCAGTGGAATGAGGGAAGGGGCATTAGCTACTAAACTACGTGAAATAACTACACCTAGACTGACACAAAAGGGCACAGCAAAAAGCACACTATTTCTGAACTTCTAACTGTGCTGACTTTCACTCCCAACCTAATATTAATCTTATTAAAAAATTTAGAAATTATTAATTACTTCGTTCATTAAAATGGTAATAACAAACCAAGAGGTTAATATTAAATTGTAATTCATTGGGCTTCCCCGGTGGCGCAGTGGTTGAGAGCCCGCCTGCCAATGCAGGGGACAAGGGTTCGTGCCCCGGTCCAGGAAGATCCCACATGACGCGGAGCGGCTTGGCCCGTGAGCCATGGCCACCGGGCCTGCGCGTCCGAAGCCTGTGCTCCGCAACGGGAGAGGCCACAACAGTGAGAGGCCCACACACCGTAAAAAAAAAAAAAAAGGAATTCATTAAGTCTTCCGAAATAATCCAAACAAAACCGTATAACTTGTGTAACTAGCACTGCTACTGCTCAATCTTATAACTAGGTTGTAAACCAAATCACACATATGTATATAGTTATTTTCAATGTGCTAAAAATGGAATGGAAGTGAGACTACATAGTCTTTGAATCTGAAATGAATTTGACAAGACCCATTTTGAAGAAAGAATGTGCCCTATTATTTCTGAGGGTTCAGAAAAAAAATTCTGTCCAAATTCCCACTGAAACCCAAGAGTAGATTATGAGATCTCCAGATCTGGCTCAAAGCTGTTTGAAGCATTTTGGAGACTTGCTTCTCTGGAAATCCTGTCATTCTGGAACCACTCTGAAGCTCCCCACTGCAAACCATTCACAGTACACCTACCTGAGATGTCCTTAGTCCCTGATGTTACATATCAACTTGTAACTACTTTACTTCTTAACTGAAGGGTCATTGTGATGCTTCACATACGAAAAATAATGGTACAATGTCTACTGTCTACTTAAAAGTATTTTATTAAATGAAAAGATGAAGCAAAAGGACAAGCTAGTAAAAAGAAAGGACAATCAGCCAGAAATAAACTTACAAGTAAAATATATTTAAGCTGCTGGTTACTGAAGACAGCAAAGAATTCTGATTACTTTTTTTTTTTCATGAGACAAATACAGAAGTTCATGTAGGAAAAAGGGCTAATTATTATTTAACCTCTTAACATGCGGTAAAATGTATCTAGTCCTACAGGCACCAAAAGAAACTACCTTAACTACAAATGTTATAAATTCTATTGTTGCTTATAATTCTGAGACTCACATATGTGGGGACTGGAAATCTCAATGAATAAGTCCAACCTCTGTTCTATGGTTGCTCCTTTGTCAGACAGAATATATTCTCATCCTTTTATCACCTAAAGTATGTGTAAAGGATAATCTTCTTGTATCCAGTAAAAAGACTTACTATACCTGGATCTGTGTCACAGTTCCCTCAGTAATCTCATCATCTGCCACCTCTGTGGTTGCAGTCATGGTCACCTCAAAGCTCTGATCATTTTCTGAAACTTCAAGAAAAAGAACAGTTCAACTCCAGAATAATAATGGCAGCTTCTAATTATTAAAAAATATACCCAAGGAACAAGTATGTGATCATCTAATTTCTTAACATATTCCTTGCCAATATATCTACACATATGTGTGTGTGTGTGTATGTATACATTCATATACATATATTTGCTTAACAAATATCTACCGTGCACCTAATACATGCTAGGCATTGTTCTCGGCAACAATAAACAAAAAACCAAAAATTCTGCCTTCACGGCACTTATAGCCTAGGGGGAAAGATACAAAATGAACACGATATTATGCTGGAGAAGTATTAAGGAGAAAAAATAAAGTATGAAAGGAAATGTGTTGGGAGTGGGGGGGAGTGTTTGAATTTTAGATAGGAGGCCAGGAAAAGTTACCAACACTTGGACTTTATCCATAAAGTCCATATATCATATGCCATGCAGGTATATTGAGGAAAAGCACTTCAGGCATATGGAAAGCCAAGTGCAACAAGGCTCTGAGATGAGGGCCTGCCTAGATTGTCCATAGGAACAGCAAGGAGGACAGTGTAGCTGGCCAGAGCAGACCAATCAAGATACTGTGTGGGGACTCACAGACCACTGTAAAGACTTTGGCTTTAACTCTCTTCCAATAGGTTGACCATTGGAAGATTTAGAGTAGAGGAGTGGTATAAACTGAGCTTTATTTTAATAGGATCTCTCTGGCTGCTAAGGGGAAAATAGACTGAAGGGCAGCACAGGCTGGAGGGAAATCAGTGAAGAAGCTAATTCAATAATCTAGGTAAGAGAGGTCAGTGGCTTGGACTAGAGTGAAAGCAAGTGAGGGTGATAAGAAGTAGTTCAAATTGTGGATACGTTTTGATGGTAGAGCCAATAGGATGTGTGGATAAACCAAATATGAAAGTGAAAAGTCAACGATGGAATTAAATTTTTTTATCTGAGCTACTGGAAGAATGTACCTGCCATTAATGAGATGGGGAAGATTGTAGGAGAAGCAAGTTTAAAAATGTAGGACGTTTCAGGGGCTCAGATTTGAACATATTCGTTTGAGAGCCACTAAACCTCGAGAGTCAAGAGAAGTCTGGACTGGAATAAATCTGGGAGTCATTATCAGAGACAGGACTTAAAACCATGAATTCAAGGGAGTGAGTAAAAATGGAAAAAAGAAGCAATCTAAGAACTGAGTCCTGGGGCACTCCACATTTAGAGGTTGTGGAGACGTGGACAAGTCAGCATAAGAGACTAAGAAGGAATGGACAGAGAGAAAACTAGAGAAATGTCTTCCCTGGAAGCCAAGTGACAAAATGTTTCAGGGAGAAGGGAGTGATAAAATTGTTGAAAATTGTCAGCAGATCAAGTAAGACAAAGACTAAAAAGATCACCATTGGATTTGGCAACAAGAAAGTCTCTGGAAAAAACTAAAAAGAAGAAAAAAAAGAAAGTGTTTGGAGACATGGGGAGAACAGTTCTGGTGTAGTGATAGAGGTGAAAGACTGACTGGAGTGGGCTTACGGAACAAGGGAAGAAGAAACGGAGGCAATTCTTCCAAGGAACTCTGCTCTAAAGGGAAGGAGAGAAATTGGATGGGAGCCCAAAGTGGGCTAACAGGACGTTTTGAAGAAGAAATTATAGTATGTTTGTAAATGTTGATGGGAATAATCCAATAGAGAATGAAAAATTGATGATTCAGAGGAGAAAGGAAAGAATTGCTACAACTATGTCCTTGAGTAGACAAAAGAGGTGGGATCTAGTACACTGAAGGCTTGGCCTTAGCTGGGTGAAAAGACAGAATATATGGACATAGATACAAGTCAGTGTGTATCTATGGTAGTGGAAACTTACAGAAATTATTTTCTGGCCACTTAAGTTTTCTAGGTAGGAAGCAAGGCTATCAGTTGAGAGTGAAAAAGGTAGAAGTACTGGAGATTTCAGAATGTATTAAACAGTCATCTTAGAGTGGGAGAAAGAACACTAGATAAGTATGGTATGACTAGCAGGCAACATTAAGAGCCCATTTCAAGTTAATGATCATAAATTAAAGTGAGACTGGTCAGCTTACTTGTGCTGTTTTTCTCCAATCTCTTTCAGTAAGCTGTACCAGTATAGACATAAATAGGCAGACAAATTGAACCAGCGTTGTGGTTTCATCAAAGAATGATGAAGTGTGGGGAGGAAAAAAGGATCTGAGGGTAAATGCAAGACAATGATTATAATAAGTAACCATGAAAACTGAAACTAGGTAAGGAGGAAGCAAGGATACAAGTGAAGAAGGAATAATTTAAAAGTGGTAAAGGTCAATGGGTCCCAGTGGGGCAAAGGATCGCAAACGTATGAGAGGAAGTAATCTGGAAGATAGGAATTAGGGGTAGGAAAACAAAATCTGAAGTAATTACAAATAGACTCCAGTTAATATGCAATAGCAAGAGTGGTATGGGAATGACAAGTGAGGCCTTGTGAAGAACCAAAGGAATCAGAGGCTTAGTAACTCCAACAATCCTCTGAACGAATAATCACCAAGAGTTTTAACAATGAATAGGTAATGGAATAAATGTGTGTAGATGATTGCAAAAGGAAGTGGTAAGTTATCTACACTGATTAACATGAGGGTTAAGAGAACTTTTAAGGCTCAGATAACTTTTTATCAGTTTTATAAAGCATGTAAAGAAAACCTGAATATTAAAGTTAAATCATTAAAACTAATATTCATCTTCATGAAGTCCAGCATAAATTACTCGTGCATTTAATCAGTCCCAGATAATGGTGATGGATATAGGACTTCATGCTTTTGTGTGACCTTTTTTTTTTTTTTTTTTTGGGGTCAGCCCTGACATCAACCATTTTTCCAAGGAGCCCTCCATTCTTTTTAGTGGAAAATAGATTTAGATACCAAAATATGAACACGAGGTGTCAGGACTGTTTGTTTGTTTGTTTTTTTCGGTACGCGGGCCTCTCACTGCTGTGGCCTCTCCCGTTGCGGAGCACAGGCTCCGGATGCGCAGGCCCGGCGGCCATGGCTCACGGGCCCAGCCGCTCCGTGGCATGTGGGATCTTCCGGGACCGGAGCACGAACCCGTGTCCCCTGTATCGGCAGGCGGACTCTCAACCACTGCGTAACCAGGGAAGCCCTGTGTGACTTTTTTTAAATGTAGAAACTTTCCTAAGTTGATTTTATCAACATACTTTTTACAAATCCAGGGAACTTCAAGCCATTCTTCATAAATTCAGTCTTATTGTAAATTAGGCTCCACAATGTCCTCTTTGGTGATGCTATGACCCAACATCAAATAGCTCATGTGCTTTTATGTCAATACACCATAAAACAGAACAAAATATCGTGTAGTTCAAACCTACAGTAATGTTCAAGGCATTCTAACCAAATTAATTAACCAGTCAAAATTTACATCAAAATAATCACTCAAAAATTCTGGCTTAATTAAATATTTTTATTTTATTTTATAACCTGTGGATGTACTGTTCAGCATGGTGACTACAGTTAATAATACTGTACTGTATATTTGAAAGTTGTTATGACAGTAGATCTTAAAACTTCTTATCACAGGAAAAAAATTGTATTGATACCTGTTTGGTGAAGGATGTTACTAGACTTATTGTGCTGAATGAACATTTTGCAATATATACATATACATAATGATTTGGTATACATATACCAAATCATTACGTACACCTGAAACTAATATAATGTTAATGTCAGTTATATCTGAATTAAAAAAAATTCTAGCTTAGAAAATGTCTATATAGGATTGTATTTGTACAGATAGGCTAATCATGTTCTAAAATTGAGTCATAACATAATAATAGTCAAATTAGGAGACAGTTTTAAAAATCATGAATTATCATTAGAAGGAGAGATCATTTAATTAGAAATACATTATGCTTGTATATTCCACAAGTGGAAGCAATATTAGCAATATTAACATTAACACCGTTTCTCAACAAAGTCTCATAGTAAACTTATATAATATGGTTTCTTTGCTGCTCAATTCAATAAGCAATTAACTCCAAATACAGAGTACATATCTGCTTATGAAGACATGATTTTCCACAATGAAAACCTAGTCTTAGTTTTCTTCCACTAGATGACGATGTGATCTTGCTTGATGCTGACAGCAAAAGAAAAGTTCGTGGATATGCCAAGACCCTCCTTTGTGCAGAGAGTGCCCCCAAGAGCCCTGTGCCCCAACCCCATCGCCAAGGACTAAGATATCTACTCCAGCTTTGGAGGGCCACCACAGTTCAACAAGATTCCATATTCTTTGCTAAACAAACCAGAAGTATAATTTAACATTACAGTTGGTGGGCTGTAGTCTTTCACCGACAGTATTCCACCCAAAATACTACATCTTCTTAAAATCCAGTCTACTCTAAATGATCTTGGAATATAAACATTTTAAGCACTTTCTTTGTTTTGTGTTTTTTTTTTCTGGCCGCACTGTGCGGCATGCGGGATCTTAGTTTCCCCGACCAGGGATCGAACCCGTGCCCCCTGCAGTGGAAACGCAGAGTCTTAACCACGGGGTCGCCAGGGAAGTCCCTTAAGAAATTTCTTAATGAGAATAAACTTATTAGGCTTCGGTCTAACTTCCATTTAGCTATATACCACATGAAAAGAACATAAACTACAAGAACCAGAATGCCTGGGTATGACCTTAGACAAGTTATTACACATCTCTATACCTTAGTTTTCTCATTTATAACATAGGGAACACTCTAGAGAGTGCTTTCTCAATGAGGGTGAATATGCTTCTTGGGAGAAGGTGAAAAGATCTTATTCTCTTTATTAAGAAAGCAAGGACATATATATATATATATATATATATATATATAGTACATTAAAAACAACAACAGTATATTTGTGGTATTACAATTTCATGGGGGAGAGCATGATGATGAAAAAAATGTCTAAAAATGCTCTCAGGAGTGGGGGGCAATTAGAAAAAAGGTTGAGAGATTAAACCAGGCAATATATGTAAAAGTATTCAGAGCCATGCCTGGCACATAAATAAGCACTCATTAAGTGCTGGTTAAAAGGAGGTTTTTTGCACTAAGAGGAGAAAAATAATGGGTCCAAGTTTACCTTGAAATGCCAATTTAATCTCTTGGAATCTAAATTTTGATTCAAAAGGAAACTATGTTAATACTCAGTGACTTACGTGGAAGTGCAACAACTGATATGCAAGGAGTAGAATCATCAATACTTTGATCATCCTCAGAAGACAGACAAAGCCTTTTATGTGGAGGTTCAATACTATCTTCTGAGTCTATTTCATCAGCTTCTAATGAAACAAAACAAAAACAAAAATCTCAAAATCTTCAAACCAATAGGAGAAAACAAAATCTTCAACAAGCAATGATTGTAAAATAATCTTCTTACTGATTTGCTATGTCAACTAAAGCCAGTCGTGCAAGTGAGACTCACTGTCCTCTCTACGCCTACTGCAGCACCTCAGCTCTTATTCTTATGACAAGGAACTATGAACAAAGGGGCCACTTTTTAAAACATCACACTTTTGTGCTGTTGACTACCTGGCTTTCCAAATATTTCACATGTAAAGACAAGGGTCGGTTATTTAATTCACTCACAACATTCACTGAATGCCTACCATTACCTAAGTTTGAGAAACAGAACAATAAGAGATACCCTGACTGTCAAGGAGCTCATAGTACAGTGTAGGAGATGACTAAACTAACAATTTCAAAATGGTGTAATAAGAACTATGAAGGTGGAATGAAGAGGCTGTTATATGAGCACACAGGCATTTAATTTAGACTGGAGGTGAAGGGAGGTTTCTAGAAAAGGTGTCTTAAACTTCAAAAAGAAACAGAAGCCAGGGGGGAATGATTATTAACTGGCAGTAGGAGTAATACATGCAGTCATACTGAGGTCCGAGAAGCTTAAAGTATGTTAGGAATATAAAAATAGCTGTGAACTGCTGGAATACCGCTACATGAAATGTGGCAGGAAATGAGGCTGCAAGGAAAGCTGAGATGATGGAAGGCCTATGTGCCAAATTAAAGAACCTGAACTATATCCTTAAAAACCATGGGAAGCTTATTAAAAAAAAAAAAAAAAACTTCCTATACTGTGAGTGAATTAAAAAAAACTTCCAAACAGTTCGTTCATTTGGGTTTTTCCATAACATCTTACAGAAAAACTCGAACTTTTTGGCCAACCCAATACAATTATGTCAGCAGGTTCTCCTACCATTCTGAGGGCAGTGAAGAATGAGGTTCCCGTCTGCGTCCCGAGTCAAAGTCACAGAGTTCACAGTTTCTACTGTTACTGTGTCAGAATCCTCTTCAACTGTGCTCATACTCAAATCTGTATAAGAACAGGTTTCAGATTAGGGTTTAAAAAATTATTTCCAAGTGTGAACATGAAGTAGCCCACAGAACCCCGCGCCTGCCCCCCGCAATTTGTATCTGCCTGTAGTATTCTTTATGTGAAATTGCAATGATGCTTCAGGTTTCAAAACGTTTTTTCAAAAGTATAGGGGCTTCCCTGGTGGCACAGTGGTTGAGAGTCTGCCTGCCGATGCAGGGGACACGGGTTCGTGCCCTGGTCCGGGAAGATCCCACATGCCGCGGAGCGGAGGGGCTCGTGAGCCATGGCCACTGAGCCTGCGCGCCTGGAGCCTGTGCTCCGCAATGGGAGAGGCCTCAACAGTGAGAGGCCCGCGTACCGCAAAAAAAAAAAAAAAAAAAAAGTTTATACCAATTATTTAGAATTAGCTGTAATAATCTGCAAGAAATCTAAATGCGATGATTAATTAAAAACCTACAGCATTTACTTTTTTAAGAGTTGTTTTTATCACATCCAATGAAAGACAACCTGTTCCAAGTTGTCTGTCATATCAGCAAAAACTCACACCACTTTTTAGTTATTTTTTATTGGTAGCTTTGTGATATATTCAAATAGGTGTTTAACTTCTGATTCTTTACCAGAAGACCCATCACAACTTTTCTCTTAATCTAAGAATTACTTCTCTAAAACACTATTTGCAAGTATTTAAGCTCTATTATTATCTGAAAAACAGGAACAGTAAATAATTCTTCCTGCTGTTTTTTTCATATTGAACAAGTACATATATCTGTCATTGACCAAACTGTTTTCCTAACAGGTATGGATCTAGGTCTTCTTTTGAAGTAGAGAGCTGGATTTTGCTTAAAGTGCCTTTACCTGTTATTTTACACATATATTATTTCCCTTTTGTTCAGACAGACTGAATAAGCAGCACTTTGAATACAGTATCTCATGGCTGACAGGGGGAAATGCCCTGAATTGTAATCAATGGCCTGATTGAAGTCTTTGGGCTTACCTTGTAATGTTCAATGAAGTTCTTGCCTCAATACTCAATTTTGGTCTTGTCCACATACTTTTTTACCAACTAAATAATACAGAGGACATAAGCCTTGATGTGTATTAATCATTCAATATTTATTTGGTTGCTATATACAAGATATTAGTCTGTACATATATTTGCCATTTACACAAATGCATTTTCCCTTAGCAGAAAAACTTAAGAACTATTAACATTTACATGGTGAAGATCTACTGATTCACTCAAGTTCTACTGTACAAATTACTGTTTTAAAAGGACATCATTCATTTTACAATGGTAAAGATGCCATTCCCCAATTAAAGATAAGTGGAGGTCATGATTTAGTTATGACTAAAATTTGCAAATCATGAGGTAAGGTCCCTGGAACAAAGGAATGCTTACCTAGAAAACAGATGGATCAGCTATAGCCCTTCCCACAGAATCGAGTTGCCTTCCCTTAGCCACCAGCATCACTTTCATGTTATCCAGATTGTTTCTCCTCCATGTTCCTACCTCTGCAACACTCTGAAAAAGTAACAGCATTATACAATAAGGCTTACTGAGAATAAACAACTGTGTGCTAGCAGTATGTGGATGACAATCTAGCCTCAAGCCTCTGTGATGTCTCAACTAGAAGAGGAAGGACAAAACCAGAATTCTTCCTTAAGTAGACCTTTTGGAAATCAGCCTCTGAAAGAATTCTCCAATGAAGGGCAGAAATGATGGGATCCTATGCCTACTAAGTCAGTTTACAGGCAGTCAAACTTTCTCGGAAAAAATAGGTTGAATTACACCAGTGGTTCTATGAACTGTAGACCTGGGTACATGTAACATGACCTAGGGTGTATACCAACCAACAATACCACAAATATTACCAGTAACTATATTTTTCTTTATAACAATTAACATCTCTCTTTAAATGTAGTACCATATTTCATCTTAAAGCATTAGAAACTACATAATATCTGTTAACAGCTCTGCCCAGGGATCTGTGGGAAAAAAGGAATCCTAAACAATCAGGCCAGAAAACATAAATTACAAGAAAGCTTTTGAACGTATTGTGAAACTTACAAAATCTGAAATGATTTGATTTTTTAAAAAATTTCTTTATTTTATTTATTTTTGGCTGCACTGGGTCTTCTTTGCTGTGCTTGGGCTTTCTCTAGTTGTGGCAAGCGGGGGCTACTCTTGGTTGTGGTGCACAGGCTTCTTATCGTGGTGGCTTCTCTTGTTGCAGAGCACAGGCTCTAGGCACGTGGGCTTCAGTAGTTGTGGCACTCGGGTTCAGTAGTTGTGGCTCACGGGCTCTAGAGCACAGGCTCAGCAGTTGTGGCACACGGGCTTAGTTGCTCCGCGGCATGTGGGATCTTCCCGGACCAGGGCTCGAACCCGTGTCCCCTGCATTGGCAAGCGGATTCTTAACCACTGTGCCACCAGGGAAATCCCCATGATTTGATTTTTAAAGGTTTCTTTCAATAAACTTCTCATCTTCATCCCAAAGGATCAACCGAAAATTAAAAAGCACAGCAAAATTTAAGGTCCAAGGGGATGTTTCAGCAAAAACCAATGATTAAAATTCTCATTTTTGCAGTATCCTAATTAAAACTCCTCTCTAGGATGGGTATCTTTGAGAACTGCTATATATAAATAAGTCTGTAGTGCAAAAGGTACAGATCCTGCTAGAAAAACATCCAGTCAGTTAATAGATTTCATGTTGTTCTCACTTCAGAATCCATTAAAACATTTAAAGCTGGTTTGTAAAGTAATACCTACTGTAGAAGATGGAGAAATTAAATGTTAAAAAAAGAAAAAAGAAGTTAAAACCACCCATAAACTTGCCAAAATCATACTTCACTCTTGTTGATGTGTGTGTGTTTGTGTATGAGGCTATACTGTAGAAGCAATTTTATATACTGCATTTTAGAGTTCATTCACATTGAAAAATGTGAAGGAAACCAAGCTAGGTATTTAACTGAAGTTTTCTGTATCGTTTAAAACTTCCACTGCATAAAAAACATGACATTATCTAACAAATAGTCTATAACTGGACATTTACATTCTTCCCAATTTTTCATTTCCGTAAAACACTGAAACATTCATATGTTATTTCTTTAAACAATATTAATTACTGAAAATTATTTGATCAAAGAATACAACAAAATAAACTTTTAAATCATGCTGCAGTCTATTTTCCAGATAGGATGTACAAATTTATATTCCAACCACTGAGGTGTAAACTCTACTCCTGGTAGTAAATAAAAATACCTTGCCACTAGTATTTTAAAAAGAAACAACAAAGAAAAAAATAACAAACCCAGCACAACTCATTTGATAGGTACAAAATGGTTACTGGTTTAGCAATTTAATGACTGTCATCTTAGCACCCAAATTAATCTAAAACTTTGGGAAAAAGAGAAAATAAAGGTGGATTTGAGAAGATACGGTAAGATACAAGGAAAGGTATCTTAAGGTAAGATACAAGGTAAGTACAAGGAAAAAGGAGTCTGAAATACCTAGATGAGAGTATTTCATTCTTGATAACGTGTACTGGCGTTAGAGGTTGATCCCATGCAGTGTACTAGCTTTAAATCAGGAATCTAGGTTCATTTTAAAAAGTCTGATAATTCATGTTAGAGATGAGTAAATGCTTCTACACTGCTTTGCAAATTAACTAGCATATCTGTTCAATCAACAAACATATATCACATGTGCAATGTGCCAGGGACTCTCTAGGCACTGGGTTATAGTGACTACTTTTTTTTAACCCCCGAAGATAAGCTCTTGACTTACCTTCCTGGGGTTTTTCCCCCTCTTGTACTTACAGCTACATAGTCTGGATTTAGTAATATTTAAGAAACTCACCTAATTTTATTTTTAATTTACTTTTTAAGGTAACACATTTACATGGTTGAAAATTCAAAAGGTAAAGGTGAAGTCTACTTTCCACTCTAGTTCTCTAGACCCCCTGCCTGGAGGTAAACAACGCTGTCAGTTTCTCATGCCTCCTTCCAGTTATTTTACTCATATATGTCAATGTATTCCTCCCTGCTACATACACTTTTTATAGAAATAGCATCATACTACAAATAGGGAAGCTTACCCTAATGGCTACTTTGTATTTCTTCAACAGCAAGTACTGTAAGCCAGCCAACAGATTAACGGCAAAGTCCCCAAGGTGGGACCTGATTTGGCCTGGCAGACAGGATTAAAAAGAAAGCCACTATGGCAGAGGCTTCCGAGCAAGGAGAGTAGCTGAATTTAAGGCTGGAGAAAAAGACAGGGGCACATCTCACAAGGCCTTATAAATCCTTGGACTGTTTTAAATTGGGAAATATAATTTACATTTTGAAAAGATCATTCAGACTGCAATATGGAGAATGGATAAGGGAGTAAGTCACGAAACAAGCAGCTGTCCAAGAGATGATAGTCATTTGGAATAGGTGGCGGAAATCAAAGAAAGGAGCCTGGACAGAGGATTTATTTTGGAGGTAGTGTTGACAGGATTTGCTGAAAGTAGATTAAGAGATGAGGAGCTATTTCAAGATGATTCCTACACTTTTGGCTTGAATAATCGACTGAGTTTTAGGGCACTAGAAGATATTTATTAAATATTTTTATTACTGTTAATATTAACAAGTTAAGATATACGGCACCCAAATGAAGATGTCAAGTTGCCAGTTGGAAGCTGGAATTCAACAGACAGGGATTAGACGTGTAAATTTGAGTTAGTGGCATGCAAATTGTTTTTAAAGATAAGATCACCTAGAGAAGTTAGAGAAGACAGCCTAGAGTTCTGAAGCAGAAGTCAAGCAATGCACAAACAAGGAAAGAAGAATGAGAAGGACCAGCCAGGGATACAGGAGGAAAACTAAGAGATGTTACTTAAAAGGCTTGAGAGTTTTTTTCAAGGAGCATTAAGTAGTTGACTGTTAAACACTGCTAAGAGGATAAGATGTTGAAGTGACTACTTGATTTGGCAATAAGTAGAACACTGTTGACCTACTGGAATACAGAAAATTGGAAGTACGGAAGGTAATACAAAACAGGTCTTGTACAAGGTTTAGCTCTCAAAGTAAGCAGAGTGAGAAGATCTATGGTAGAGTCAAGACAGCTGTTATTTATAGAAAGAGTACATCTGTATTTTAATATGACTATTAGAGTAACTGAAAAATGTTGGTAAATAAATCAACTTACGATAGTAAGGTACCAAAGCTGAGTAATTTAGGGCCTTGTACTGTAATTCATTATACGTGAAACTATGCTTAACTTCAAAACCCGTTCCCCATTTGGTTTAATAGGGAAATATATCAGGAAGATCTCCAATTCTAACATCAAAATTTTGGTTCCCTTTGGGGCAAATAAATACACATCATCAGCCTATTTTTTTTTTTAACATTTTTTAAAAAAGACAATCTACATATTTATTTAGGCCACACCACGAGGCATGTGGGATCTTAGTTCCCCTACCAGGGATCAACCTGCGGCTCCTGCACTGGAAGCGCAGAATCTAACGACTTCCCTGGTGGACCACCAGGGAAGTCCACCATCAGCCAAGTCCACCATCAGCCTATTTAGATCTTCCTTTCTTTCTCTCAAATGGGCTATACCATATGCACTACTTTTTTTTAACCAACTAGCAGTGAGAACATGAAAGGAAAAAATTTTAACAGCCATTTTAATTGGTGAAATGGCATCCTGGCACGTTTCCATCATTTGGTGGATATCTTAATGCCTTAGTAAAATCAAGAAAAGAATACCTGAAATGTGGTACAGAACAGTTATTATACTCACATTTAAATGAGAAATGTATTTGTTTACATTTATAGCTCCCAATGAACAAGATGACCCTACTCAATGTAGAACCAAAAAACTTACTACTCTTGGATCTGTTAGTTAACACAGACTTTAAAGACATGAATCCTTTATTCTACTCCATTCCAGTATTGATGTAAAGTTTTTATTCATTAGATTATCTTAAACTGGTATTTCCATCAATTGAGTCTACATAATTGTCCTGGTTTATCAGGCGACTAAGTGTCATAATCTTCTAAAAACTAGATCAAGCCAAGAAAAGTGGCATTTCTTCCTGGTTTTGGGACTAGTTTCTGTAGATAAATGTTTACTGGTTCCCAAGCACAGTACTAGTACAAATGGGGAAGGGTAGATTCTATTATTAGAGATCATGAGAAGCACAGAGCTAACACTTGCTGACCCTTGATGCTTGAAGATGTGATTCTTCATTGCAAGATGGGATGAGACTACATGGTGTGAAAAACATTCAGCATTATAAAATACTTTTATAAGGGGAAATCAAGCAAGCTACAGAACATAAAGTACCAGAATTTTATTGTATGAGGCAAAGACTGAGAAACACTAGCTGACGCAGTTTTTGGCATAATTCAACTAATAAGGCAGTAAGGACACATTTAGTTTTCAGATGTCTTTTTTCCTGCCCCAATATAATAAGAAAATTACTCATTTTCCTTTTTTTTTGGTGATAATCTTCCAAACCTTTCAGCCATGTATCAACATACCTGTTTTTAATTGTTTTTACGATACTGTGATCATACTGTCACATCTTTTATAACTTTTTTTTTTGCACTTAACTTTATGGGGAGCATTTTCCGATATTACTAGTTATTCTTCCATAGCACTTTAAATGGGTACATGGTACCTCAACTTATCTAACCATTAACCTATTACTGAACATTTTTGTTTTCAAGGTCTTGCTATTATAGACTCCATAATGGCCCCTACCATACCTTAGGTGGTACATAACTAACGCCTTAGGAAATGCTTATAAGGGGATTTGCTTAGTAACATACAATAAAAAATCTGAAAGATATGTTCTGAAATATTTTTACTTTGAAAGAATGAAAACTCTGCTAAATAGAAAATCTTAGTGAAGACTTTCACTAAGAAGAGAATAGGTAACAAATTCCTGGACTTCCCTGGTGGTGCAGTGGTTGAGAATCGCCTGCCAATGTAGGGGATACGGGTTCAATTCCTGGTCTGGGAAGATCCCACATGCCACGGAGCAACTAAGCCCGCGTGCCTAGAGCCCGTGCTCCGCAACAACAGAAGCCACCGCGGTGAGAAGCCCGCGCTTGCCACAACTAGAGAAAGCCCGCGTGCAGCAACGAAGACCCAACGCAGCCAAAAATAAATAAATATATTTTTTTAAAGTAAAAATAACTTAATAAAAAGAAAAAGAATTCCTATACCCTGAACATGGGGACATAGAGGGATATCAGGAAACAGACAAAGCCACAGACATCTTAAATATTGATTTTATTAAATACAGGAATGGGGTCACTTCACAGTTGAGGTTGAATGCTTTAGACTATGGTCCCAGGGGATTTGTTCTTCTGTATACTTTGTGGAAAAGTTTGAGAAAGAGAACTATAAATGAACATACAAGCATACTGAATTAAGGTACCTAACTAATGTTCATTATGGCTTGGTTTTAAGATAATATGACTATATACCATAAAACGTCAATAAAGATATTAACAGGGTTTATTATAATAGGCTTTAATTGTTTAAGATGTTGATTTTAATTACCAACTACTGAAAACAATGAGACTATTAGAGTAAAAAAAATTACCTGATAGTATGATTCATTTCAAGGTACAGCATTTCATACCTGGTTTGGCAATACAACCATACTGCTTATTAAAAAACAAAAATGTTGTCTTTTACCCAGTGCATGATTTAAGAGCTATACAATGTGTATTTGGCTATATTTTAAGATTTCAGCCATTGAAAACTGAGCCCTTTAAGCAAGGCATCATCAGAAGCTCTTTAAAGGGAATACATTATCACTATAGTTCTAATATACACTGAAGCCGATTTTTAAACCACACTTCTGCAACAGATACTAAAATACACAGACAGTAAATAAACCTAAAGAGCATTTTTTTGCTGCCTAACACCTGATGGTCAAAAAGATTAGTTTTGACAACCGGTTACTTGGAAGAAGGGCTTGACAACACAGTGCACACAACTAAAATGACAGCTAAAAAAATGGCATAAGGTTAACACACACACACACCCCACCAAACAAAAAGACAATTAAATTGTTCATAAAGAGCTCTCCAGTGTGCTTTTTCATGACAACTTCTTTCTGGTATTCATTCGTGGAATGGGATCTTTCTATAAATGTGAAAAAGGAGACATGATAGACAGGTTTCTTCTTTTATTTAAGTTTATCATTTACCTTTACGGAATCAAAACAAAAACAAAGCCTACTTGTGATTTCTATTACAAGCATCCTCTTCACAAAAGGAAAAAATGTGAAGGGGAGAAATAATATGAAAGAAAATACCACATACATTTGATAACTCTGTATTTTATATATAATGCCCTTGGCAACAGGTTTATCACTTTCTCAGGTCACTGCGTAGCATTTAAGGACAGAAAAGGCTTTGGAGCTGAATTTGCAAAGCATGTAGAAGCATACCAATTCCTAAGGAATCCTCTTATATGAGGGGGAAAAAAAGGTGCTAAAAATGATGGTGGTAAGAGAAAACGATTAAAAAAGAAAACTCCATTTTGACAAGGCAGGTTAACAACTCAGTGTTAAATAGACAGCCTCTATATATGATATTAAAAAACTGGAACTCTTCCTAATCTTTTCAAAGTTTTGATGTCTTTACAACACAACACAGATCCCACCCCCCTTCAATATTTTAACATCTATGTGCCAGGCTGTATATTCCTAGGGACACTTGTTTCACATTATCTTACTCATCCTCACAAGTGTTAACTTAAGTCAATGTTCTTAATGGAGCATGAAAACAACTGTTTAAAATAATGAGATGTTATTTTCAGGACATACAAGCTTACTACAACATTAATAAAAATTAGGGTCTGTAGTTGTTGGAGAGATAAATAAGTGAGCAGAAAGATAATTAAATATTATGTGGGAAAAGTGAGGATTAGTTTTGTTTTTATTTCAATATTAACTAGTAACATCTAGCTAACCTTACAAATACACTTATCTCTCCCGCTGCCTTGGGGTGAAATGAGGTAACTTTTCTACATCCTAAAAAAAGCCTGTAAAAAGAAGAGAACTTGGGAAAAAGAAAGAAAAAAAAAACCTAAAGACAACTACCTTCTTTCGGGGTATAATTCTCTACCAGTAACCATTTCCCGTGACTGCTTCCCCTCATAATACTTCTAAAACCTGAACACCCAGAGAAAAATGTTTATATAGCATATATTTATTCATGGAACTGCTCAAAGTGTGGACTTAAAGTTCTACATAAGTATGCAATGCCCCGTACTTACTGATTAACTGTTGATGAAGACAGGGCAATAGCATTTTGGCTCCACCATCTAGCTCAACTGCAATCAATTAAAGAGATTCACGGAGAATATGCAGGTTCTAGATCAGTCCCAAAAAGCATATTTTGGGGTGAGCCTATCAACTAAAATAGTAAAAAAAAAAAAAAAAAAAAAAAATTAGCTTTTTTGGTGGCACATAAAGTACTTACTTAGTATATGGGAGTTAAAATAAAATTATCATAAAACATGAAATATTTTTTCTTCATAACTAACACGTAATTTTTTCCCCAGAAATGATCAGGCTAGTTTTTGTCCCTTGTGAATGAAGGGAAAAAACATTTATTCTCACACCAAATTTTAGTCAAACAGATTGACAATTTTTGTAACAGTAAGGAATATAATTTCTCCCTGAACCTTAACTAAGTCTCTAAATCTTAACCTAATACATGTATCTTACCACCACTACAGCATAACAGTAAAAAGGTAAGTTTTTGGTGTATTATCAGCACGGTCTTTAAACGTTTAAATGCTGGTAAATTATTCAAATTACTAAATAAATAAATAGAAAAAAATGCAGTGACACTCAAAGTTATTTGAAACACAAGTTTAAGAGCAGCTCAAAGAAAAAAATCTGAAGTAATGGAAAAATATGAAAATCCTTCCCTGAAAAATAGTTTTTCTGTCTGTAAAACTTTCAACACAATGCAAGAATGTCTTACTTGAACTGGAGCTTAAAAGCTATAAATGGTTGTCTTCGGGAAATCAAAATAAAGTTAAAATCGATAAAAGATAAAATACTTCCAAACGGTATTACTCTAAGTTTAAAATACTGAACATTAGGAAGTAATGCTACAGAATACGCTTTTTGTCAAATGTCTCAACAAGCAGCCTCACCTACGGTGAGAAAGAAGGTGCACAACAATGAATCAAGTTACGAGAAAATAACCATTGAATGTTAATTTCCAAATTCAATCGGGGAAAGGGAGCCCTGACTTCTACATTTCCCAGATTTATCACCTCTCCTCATCTACACCGAATTATTTTTATTCTAAAAACACATGCTGTACCATTCAACTGCACAGACTTGGCCACTTCTACCCTCAAACCTATGCCGCAGATTCCCTAAAGATTCTCAAAGTCTATTTTAAAAGACGAAGAAAATTAAAAATTTTAAATACTTCCTCAGAACTCGTCCAAATTCGACAATCCCTATGTTGCAGGCTCATTTTCCTGTTCTCTGCCGGGTTAGGTCTGTCTCCCCGCACTTCAGCTCCTATCTTTCCCTTTTAAGAGACTCAGGCTGACAGAGATGGTTCGGCCAGCAACCCCGATCCCTTCCGCTTAGGCCATGAACAGCTGAGCGAGAGTGAACCCCAAAAGGTGGGAGAAGAGTCGAAGAGGCGAAAAGGTAAGAGGAAAAAATAGGGGGTGCGGTGGGGTGGCGCGAGACAAGCCCCAGCTCTCTCGATCCCATCCAAGCTCACCTCTCCTTCACTGTACCAAATAAAACCGAAAAGGTAACAAAAACGTAAAAAAGAAACCCTACGAAAAAGCAAGGAAGGCTTCCTTACTCTCGGGGTTCCCGGGTCCGATTCTCTCGCCAATCTCCCGGCCCACCCCACCCCACCCCCAGGGGTCCCGGCGCCATTTAGCTCCTCCGAAGCCGCCGCCATTTTCCGCCCCCGCCGGATCGCTAGCTGTGCCTCGGCGGCTGCTCGCTACCCTGCTCTGCAGCCCACGCCACCGCCGCAGGCCCGGCCCCGAGAGAGAGGCCCTGGCGTGAGCGTGCGGGGACTGCAGCTTCAGCGTCACGAAGGCCCAGCTCCCACCCCGCCCGCGGTGCCCGAGCGCCGGCAGTTGGCGCCGGCCGGCGAGAGCAGGCGGGCAGCAAGGGGGCCGGACAGGCTCCACTGGGCGGAGCGGCCCTAGCGGTGCCTGGGACCTGAAGCTTCCATCGCACTTACTTCCTGTTTTGGGTCCGGGCACTTTGGAAGAACCAGGATGGAGGCTCCAAAAAATACCAGGATGGAGGAAGCAGCCACGGGCAAGAGTGGCTGCAGCTGGAGTGAGCGAGCGCGACAAGCCACCGGAAACGGAGCTACGGCCGCGCCCCGCCCCCAGCCCCCGCGCGCTCCCCCGCCCGGCCTCCTCTCCCTGGGGGCGGCCCTGCGCGCTGGCCGCGGCGTCACTTCCGGCCAAGTCGGAGCGCGAAAAAAGGTCCCTGGTTATTTGAGCTTCGAGCCCCGTCTGATTGGGAGTTGTTCGTTGTCTTCTCTTTTCTCCTACTCCTACAAGGAAATAGGTACTGACTGATGCCATGAAGGAGGACCTTCTTTCTTTGGCGCAACTGTGGTTTTCCTGGCTCGGCGACAGTTGGGCCTCGCCAGCCGACTTTCATAATTATTCTGGGCCTCGGAGCGGAGGGAGCCTCGCGTGTGGAACTGTTAGAAAGCGGGGTCTGAGTGCAGACGATAACCGGGAATTGTATGTCTGGCTCTTCTGACTTGGACTGCCTTGCCGTAGGCGCGTAGAGGTGTTACCCGTTGGGCGTATGATGCAGTTCTTGGTGAAATGTATCCTGTGTGAATATGCTGTTCTGTAGTGCACAGTATGCCTTATAAAGCACGGCTTTTCTAGAGTGGATGCTCTTCAGCTAGCCTGGGGAGCTTTCAGGGAAGACCAATTCTCGGCCCCGCCCCCAGAGAGTCTTTAAGCTTCCAGAGACTCCTGCAGAGATTTTTGTTTTGAAAGAGTCCTGAAAAATTTTTTAATTAATTTTTTTTACTGGAGTATAGTTGATTTACAATGTTGTGTTAGTTTCTGCTGTACAGCGAGTAAGTTATACATGTACATATATCCACTCTTTTAGAGTCTGTTCCCTTATAGGTCATTACAGAGTTGGGAATAGAGTTCCCTGGGCTATACAGTAGGTTCTCGTTAGGTAGCTCTTTTATATAAAGTAGTGTGTATATGTCAATCCCAATCTCCCAAAGAGTTCCGAAGATTTTAGTGGTCGGAACCCTGTTACAACTCTTCTTAGGATTCATTTCACTTGTTTATAAAATTGATTTATTGTACGCTGCTTTTCTTTTGCTAGTGGGATGAGAGGAGTTTAGAAATTAGATTAGACAAATGTTCTTGCATCCAGCAACTATGTGTAGACTTAACACTACATTGTCACAATGGGAGTGTAGTGAGCATCGGTTGTAAAGGTCAAATGAAGGCCGTCAAGAGTGTGTATACTACGTCTTGAATTGGTCTTAACTAATGAAGTTGATAATGCTTAGTGATTTCTTTTCCTCTCTTTTGGCTTAAAAAAAATGTTTTTTGCAACCCCGGTTTCTTTTGAATACAAAATGTAGTTGGAAGACTTCGTGGAAGTGACACTAATTCATTGAAGAAAGGGGGAAAAGTACACACTGAAATGGGTTTAGTTAGATAAATATTTGTTTCGATTTTAAGCCAAATGTACACAGTTTTCACCAGTAGTCCACATTATCTATTCTTTGGGGTAACTGTCTCACTCATAAATGTTGCATTTCATAAAAGAGAGTGTAAAACGAAATACCATCACACACCAATTAGAAGTGCTAAAATCCCAAACGCTGACTTCACTAAGGGCCGATGACGCTTTGGAGCAATAGGAACTCTCATTCATTGATAGAGGGAATGCAGAATGGTACAACCACTTTGGAAGACAGTTTGGTGGTTTCTTACAGAGCTAAGCATATTCTTACCATGTGATCCATTAATTGCGCCTTGATATTTACCCCAAATAGTTGAAACCTTACCTCCACTTAAAAAGCTGCACAGAGATATTTATACCAACTTCATTGTAATTGCCAAAACTTAGAAGCAACCAAGATGTGCTTCAATAGGTAAATGGATAAACTGTGGTACATCCATACAATGGAGTATTCAGTGCTAAAAAGAATTGAGCTGTCGAGCCATGAAAAGATGTGGAGGAATCTTAAATGCATGCCACTAAGTGAAAGAAGTCTATATGAAAAGGCTAACTACTGAATGATTCCAACTATCTGACTTTCTGGAAAGGGCAAAACTATGGAGTTAGTAAAAAGATCAGTAGTTGCCAGGGTTTGAGGCCAGCGGAAGAGAAATAGGTGGAGCACAGAGGATTTCTTAAGGCAGCGAAATGATTTTGTATAATGCTGTAATGGTAGATACATGGCATTATACATTTATCAAAACCCATACAATGTACAACACAGATAGTGAACCCTAATGTAACCCACGGACTTTGGTTGTTAATGATATATCAGTGTTGGTTCATCATTTGCAAATAAATGTACCACTCGGTGGGTAGTTATGGTATTTACTGCATTTGCTAGTTATGATTAGCTCTGTTGGACTCCAGATTTTTTATAACACTTTCATGAACCTCATCAGCAATAAAATATTGATGAAATGACCTTCCTTTCTTGAAAGGTTGATATGTTAATATAAAAGTGTTTCAGATACTGAGAGGCTGGTTTTATTGTTTAATGATTGTCTCATGTCCTGGATGTCACGATTCAGAATAAAGAGATGTTTCCAAGGACTTCTGTTCAAAGTAAATGAAAAATATAATTATTGAGTAGCCCATTTTCTTTCTACACAGTCTGAGTCCTATTAATACAACTGATGTGTATACACTGGAAGCCCTGCCAGAATTTCCAGCAAGCTGATGGGGATTCCTGTGCTAACAGAGGAATGAGCAAACTGTCCCTAGTTAAGCCAACACGTCAGGCTCTTCCAAGTCCTCTTCTGTCTGAGATTCCTCCTCCAGACTTTTGTCTGGGACTTACGGCACTCCATCGCATAACCCCTTTCCTGCTCTCCACTTCATGTCAGTGTCTCATCCCTACACCTCTTTTAATCTTTCAGCTTGGTTACCTCTTCACTTCATTTTCTTTTGCAGTAGAGCTTTACTGAGGCCTGTTCATGGAACATTAGCAAAAGTTGGTTCTTCTTCCAGTTAGGAGAATGGAGAACTAAGACTTCAGATCTTCCCAGCAAGTGAGGATGGAAGTTTTCATTCTGTCCTTGAAAATTTTGTGGGCAAAATGAAACAGAAACAGTTAAGTTACTTTACTAAAATTGGGAGAATGTTTGAACCCAGATTCAAATATCTTTTCCTTTATAGTCTGGCCTAGAAGGGAGAGGGATCATATATTGGTAAATCAACCGGTAATTGCCAATGTGGTAAGTTCTAAACTCTGAAGGTGAACTTTATGTAGGGAGTTCAGAACTGGGTTTTATGAGAAGACACTTGAGCAGGGACTGGAAAGGTGACAAATTACTAGAGTAGGGGGTGGGAGGTGGGAAGGCATTTGTTCAGCTAGTGTGGGAAAGAGGGTGGTT